CAAAAGGTCAAAGTAGCCTACAAACCACAACAAACAATCAAAAGCCTTTTTCCACGCCCCAAGGAGCTAGACGAACCTGACCGCCAGAAGTCAGGCATGGTGTACAAAATCAATTGCACACAGTGTAATTTTAAGTACTATGGCCAAACAGAAAGATCATTAAAGACCAGAATTGCGTAGCACAAAAAAGCAGTTGCAGGTTTTGACTTAAACTCCAAAGTCGCAAGCCATGTCTACCTTTTTGATCATAACATGGATTTCACAAACGTCAAGGTCGTTGGTTTCGAAACTAATTACCACGAGAGACCTTTCCTTGAAGCCTGGCACTCTACTTTGGATCCGAATGCCGAGAACGATCACATCGTACTTCCAGAAGGCTATAAAGACCTCGCGCGAGCTTCAAATACATAGTTACGCGCGCAAGCTAGCGTCACGTTTTTAACTTTAATAGTGTATGATAACGAACTTCGTTTTTCATATCACTAATGAAGGCTTAAGCGTTAACCGAAATGTCTGTTTCAGAAATAACAACTGTCAGAAGCAACCAATTGCGATAAAACTCATATATTTACAGTTGTTCTCGGAAATAGTAAAACTCACGGAAAAATTGTCTGCAAAAGTCATGATCATGACTAAAAAACCACACGAGTACATACGGGTAACATATGAGTAACATACGAGTAACATACGGAACATACGGATACATACAAATACATACGACTAACATACGAGTAACATACGAGTAACATACGGGTACATACGAGTACATACGATAACATACGTAGACAAACGAGTAAAAAAATACGAAAAGTACGAGGAGAATTCATGCGAGTAAATTTTTATGCAAAGTAAAGACAACTTAAGTAAAATATAACAAGAGAGAGCAAAATATATTTGATATTTGCTCGTCACGCATTACTTCCCCGACTAAGGAAATATTGCGTTACAAGAGCAAAGATCTTTGATATTAAACTGGTGCCCTGGGGTCATGCCAGGTAATCCGATGTGCGCAAAAATCGGCCTGTCGCGCAGTGGATGGTCTTCACGCGTTCAATCTTTACTGTGCACTGAACAGATTGAAGAGGGTAATACTGATTTACAGATGACACAGTTGAGAAAGGAACCGTAATGTAGGTGTAACTAACAGTGGCAGGACCCCAGGCCACCACTTTAATATCAAGGATCTTTGCTCTTGTAACGCAATCTTTCCTTAGTCGGGGAAGTAATGCATGACGAGTAAATATCAAATATATTTTTCATGTTATATTTATACTTAAATTGTCGTTACTTTGCATAAAAATTTACTCGTATGAATTTTACTCGTATTTTTTCGGAATTTTTTACTCATACGTATTCGTATGTAAACGTATGTTACTCGTATGTTAGTCGTATGTTACTCGTATGTTAGTCGTAGGTAGGTATCCGTATGTTACTCGTATGTTACTCGTATGTTACTCGTATGCTACCCGTATGTACTCGTGTGGTGTTTTAGTCATAATCAAAAGTCATTACCACATTTAATTACATCGAATTACAGATGTAGCGATAACAGTCTTTCTGTCTGGTTTTCCTTCACGAAAATAACTTTTAAATGGTTTCTTTTTAAACTCAAAGAAAACTTGTTTTTATTGTAGCTTGGTGTAATGAGAAACAAATACAAACTCCGATGGAAAACATGACGGTAGGACAACTGAACACAAACAAATATTTCGCTTATCGCGAACAATCACTTCTGATATCGTTGTCCGTTTTTCGCGTCGGATTTGATGCACAATTCCACCGGCTATGTTATAAAACAATTGGTTCATGCTTTTAGCTGTGCACTATCGAGTTATGGAGCACGTGGGAAGTTTGGAGAGCACTCAAGAAGCTAGAGTTGCCCTCGGCTATTGCCTCGGGCAACTCTTACGCTTCTTTCGTGCTCTCCACTTCCCGGGTGCTCCATAACTCGATAGTGCACGCTAAAGCATGAACCAATTGTCAATTAGCGATCGAGCAAAAGCTCGTATTTAAATTTCTTATTGAAATACGGATTTCGAAGCTTTTAAACACCCCTTGTTGCTTGAAAAAACCTTAAAACTATAGACTTTGTGTCCTGATTAACATTCCACTTTTTATCATATAAGGGGCAAAATTACTGAATTGTGATTGGTCAAGACAGAGGGCATTTTTTTTTTAATTTTTGTAACTGCCCCGGGAATTATTACTTGAAAATTATTGGCTGAAAATCGCTTAGCAACGGCTGCCAAGATAAAGAAATTTCTGTTTGTTTTG